TCATTCTCCACTTCTCTCCATTCATTCTGTTAGCTCCCTTGTCCACCCTGTATGGCATAGTTTTTTTTCCTTAGTCCAATTAATTTTGTGATGTGGTTTGCATCTGCTCGAAGCCTGTTCTTTTCTAATCAGAATCACAAATGTGGAGGCACTGGATGACATGGGAGTAGGGCAGGAACCGGGGGTAGAAAAGATAGAGGAAACTGTAATCAGGATATATTGTACAGGAAAAGAAAGGATTTTCAATATGAGGGGTACAGAAGAAATGCCCTGAGGGTAGCTATTTTGTGTGACACTTCATTCACAACCATGTTGTGCAATTGTTCCTGCACAGGGATATGCCTCTCGAGACATAGTCCTCCCTTGTCTCCATACATTTCACTCAAAGCTAAATGCCTTCCTTAGAAGGGAAGCAATTGTGAAGCATAACTAAGATGGTGTAGATGGGACCACAATAGACATTACTCAACATTTGGAAATAATGCATCTCCCTTCAGGAATTTGTGAATTGTAGTCATGAGCTTATGAGACTACCATTGTTACATAGCATGGATGTATGACAGGACTGTGGAACACCGCTACAGAGAGATGCCCAAGATGTGCAATCCGTCTGTGGGAGAAACTGCAAGGTTTTTCTAAAAACCTTCACTAAATATACAAGGAACATTAAAAAGTAAAACAACAACAAAAAATCCTCCCCAAAACATACAACCCAGATTCTTGGCACGTGCCTTAAATTCCTGCACTGTGCAAAGGAGAACGGTGTATCAGATCCATGAGAAAACAGTAAGGAGAGGAATATAATGATTGTTTTCTTTATATTGCAAAATAGAAATACAAACATACCAGAATATTACTAACAAAATAAAGCAATAATTCCCAATTTAGCAACCCTCTCTTAATATGGGAAGTGCTTCTGTGTGTGTGTTTGTCTTATTGGGTGATAAATAAAGTACTGTTTGCAAATGAGGCAACAAGTCAGGCTGTACTAGGAGTCAAGGAGTATTCTGGGAAATGTAGTAAATTAGTGGTGATGCAGGCAGGAATTGACATAGCAGGGGGAATCATATATAAGCACCGGCAAGAAGGAAATTGACCCTTCTCTCTTCCTCCTGGTTTATGCTCTGGAGTTGCCATGTTATCCACCAGGAACGGAGGATGCAGGCAGAAAGCATCTTCATAAGATAAGTCTTATAACTATGGTTGATAATTAAGACTGAACTAGCAGATAAGAAATCCTAGTCATTGGCCAAGCATTATTTGTGCCTAATATAAGTCTATGTGTGTTACTTGGGAACTTAACAGGGTACAGGGCAGAACTCAGGCAGACTGGAAGAAAGCACCCACATTGCAATGCTTGGCTCGTATAGCCCAGACAGATGGAGTAAAGACTTATTGTTGCACTCTCTTACTTTTAGAAGTAAGATTCTTTTACTACCGAATTTAGGCAAAATTGCTAGCCTCTGTGATCCCTATTTTCTTCATCCAAAAAATTAGAATTAGGTCCCATTAATGAGGCTTTGCGGATTTGAAAGTCTCCATTGAAAATTTTGGTGTTATTCTGATAAGGCTGCCTATATATTTAACTCTGGCCAGCCAATTGGTAGCACTGACACTGTTTGAAACATACCTCCACAGAACAGAAAATGAACCACAGCAAAAGCAGTGTGCAAACTCTGAACACAAACATGTTAAACAACTTTAAGTATTAAAAAGCTTACAACAGCCTTCTTTACACTGTGTAGTAACCCAACAGAAAGGATAACATGTATTCCTTTTTTATAATATAAAATAGAGTATATATAAGCATTCCTATGTCCATAAAAGACTAAGGAACTAAGAAGAGAAGAGATAATGGACTCATTACTGATATCACACTAAATTGAAAGAATTCCCAAAGTTTTCCATGTCAGATATCATGGGTTTTTTTTAATGGCCATCTATTGTTATACTTAGACAAGAAAAACCCCAAACAAACGAATCTTTCATTACACAGTTAATATACATTTTAAGACATCTGGAAGCCTAGGATTGTGGTGCCTGCCTATAATCCCAGCACTCAGGAGGTAGAAGTGGTTAGACCTCTGTGAGTTCAAGGCCAGCATGGTCTACAAAATTGTTTTGAAGACAGCTAGGGCTATTTTGCAGAGAAATCCTGTCTCAAAAAAGAATACAGAAACAACAACACTAAGATAAAAGACATATTGATACCAGAAAAATCAGCAGTACCTCTTGAGGTTCTTGGTCTCATTGATAAAGGACTTTTTTTTAAAAAAAAGACTCAATGGTATCATTTTTAAATTCTTTGTTTTAATAATTCAAATTTCCTGTCCTACAGGTCTTTCATCTATTTGGTTTGACTTACCCCAAGATATCTTATGTTGTTTGTGACTATTGTAAAGAATGATATTTTTCTCATTTCTTTCTCAGCATGATTATTGTCTACATATAGTAGGGCTATTGAATTTTTTGAGTTAACTTGTATCCTGCCACATTTCTGAAGGTGTTTATCAGCTGTTGGAGTCCCCTAGTAGAATTCTTCAGGTCACTTATGTAGACTCTTATATTATCTGCAAATAGTGATAGTTTGAATTCTTCCTTTCCAATTTGTATCCCATCGATCTCCTTTTGTTGTCTTATTGCTCTAGAACGAACTTCAAGTACAGTATTGAAGAGGTATGGAGAGAGGGGACAGCCTTCTCTTGTTCCTTATTTTAGGGGAATCATGTTGAGTTTCTCTCCACTTAGATTGATGTTGGCTGTTGGTTTGCTGTATATTGCCTGTTTTCCGTGATCTCTCTAAGACCTTTATCATGAAGGGGTGTTGAATTTTGTTGAAGGCTTTTTCAGCATTTAGTGAGATGATCATGTGTTTTTTCTTTTTCAGATTGTTTAAACGGTGGATTACAATGATGGATTTTTGTATGTTGAACCATCCTTGCATACTTGGGGTGAAGCCTACTTGATCATGAAGTGTGATTTCTCTGATGTATACTTGGATTCGATTTCCCAGGATTTTATTGAGTATTTTTGCATCAATGTTCATGAGGGAGATTGATCTGTAGTTAGGTGTCTTAGTTGTGTCTTTGTGTGATTTAGGAACCAAGGTAATTTACCCTGGTAAAAAGAGTTTGGCAATGATCCTTCTGCTTTTATTGTGTGGAACAATTTGAAGAGTATTCGTATAAGCTCTTCTTTGAATTCCTGGTAGAATTCTGCGCTAAAACCATCTAGCCGTGTACTTTTTATGGTTGGAAGTCTCTTGATGACTGCTTCTATTTCCTTAGGGGTTATAGGTCTATTTAAATTATTTATCTGTTCTTGATTTAATTTTGGTACATGATATCGATACAGAAAATTGTCCATTTCCTTTAAATTTTCCAATTTTGTGGAGTACAGGTTTTCAAAGTATAACCTAATAATTCTGTGGATTTCCCCAGTATCTGTGTTATGAACCCCTTTTCATTTCTGATTTTGTGAATTTGCATGTTCTCTCTCTGCCTTTTAGTTAGGTTGGAAGAAGCTACCAGAAAGTGGAAAGATTTCCCATGCTCTTGCATAGGTAGGATCAACATAGTAAAAATAGCAATCTCCATTGCACTAAATGGATTAACTCTTAACCAGGGAGAGAGTGTGCTGTCTCCCATTAGATGAAATTTAATTCTTTTGGAAGGGAGGCAAAAACATTCCACTAAAGAGGCTTCAATACTACTGTGAAGGAAACAGCCAAAGACTTATGTGTGGGGAGGTTGAGGGTACAGACTTGAGCACAATGAGAGGCTCCTTGTTTACAAGTTGATAATGCCTGGGGGTCAGACAATTTTTGTGATTGTCAGAAATGCAAGCTAGAAATCTCTGTGATGGAGATATTTTTTGAAGACCTAAGACTTCAGGCATGGAGTCATGCAATAGGAATTACTTTAGAAGATTAAACTGGGAACAAGGCATGCCACAGATTAGGGGGCATATTCAGATGTATTTAAAGACAAGGTAGGTAGAGAAGTCAGATCCTCCCAGTTACACCTACCTGCCATCCACACCCAACAAGAATACCCACCCTCCCCTCACTGACCCTTCTCTGCCCTGCTTCAGAGTCCTCATCTCAGACTTGGGCATAGAGAATCCCTGAAAGAGAGGGTGTGGAAAACTCTTCTGCCATTCCCCCAAAACATTGTAATCTCCAAGGGGAGGTCTAGAGCTGCTGCCAGACCTGGGAAAATCACAGACTCCAAGGAAGCATTTGGGATTGGAGCCCAAGCCTTGAAAAGAAATTGTGGCTAAGGAGCAGGGAGAGGTGTTGCTGGAAAAGATGGAGAACAGGTCCTGGATTCAGGACAGGTTCCCAGTGACAGATTTCCACAGAGTGCACAGACCCTGCCTGTGTGTGCAGTCTGCCCATTTGAAGCTGCTGTTCCCACCTCCTCTGGACGCTTGAAAAGGAGGAGGACCCAGGCTGGAATTCTTGCAGGTCGGTGCACAGAGGCAGAACTGGAAACATATGATTTTAAAAGGCACACATTTGTCTTTTCTCTTCATATTTCTCAGTTCTGTGTGATGGTTCAAGCAAGAAATATAATGGGATGGGATATGATATGGTCCTCTTTAGACCTAGAAAAAATGTGTTGGAGACTCTGTTCTTACAATGGGTGATGTGAAAGGAATATCAGGAATATCTTCACAATTATAGCAGAAAGATTTGGACATGCAGGCACTGTCCAGTTGAGAGTACCTCCAGTATAACACTGAACAGGAAGTCCTGGAATAGCTGATGTAATATAATTACTGCAATTAATGTCACCATGTTCTAGTCACCCTTTCTGTCTGACAGATGTCACATCACAATGTATTCTTCTCTACCAGCTCCAGCTTCTGGGATGCAGAGATTAAATCCTTTGCTTTTATACTGGAAGGCAGCATGAGAGGAAATATTACACATTAAACAGCGGAAACCAGGATGAGCCAGCACATAAAAGCCATGATATGGAATGGTGGTGGCTTGCCTGTGCAGACTCCATCAGTGGAAGTTATGCAATGATGGTCTTCCTCTTCCCAGTTCATCACATTCCCCTGAACACACACAGTGAGACCTGTGAATGCACAGACATAATGGAAATGTGAGATTGTTCACTTCCCATTACCTCGAAAAGTATCCTATCCTTCTTTTCATGTGCTCATGTCCATTCTGTCCTGCCAGAGCCATCACACTGACAGCATGAAAGAGGCAAGGGGAGTGTGCCAAACAAGACACACGAAACACTAGGTTTTGTTTTCTGTCTCTTTAAGTCTTGAACATGATCCTTGGATGTGAGCATCATTACCTCCTTTATATACACGGGGTCAGTGAGTGCAATGTTTAGACTCAGCAAAGACTCCAGAGGCACCAGATGAACACTGATGTCATTGTAAATGGATTCCTCTGGCCAATACTGGGACAAATTGGTCATCAATAAAGAGAAGGGCAGTATGAGAGGATAATAGTAATGTGTATTCTGAGTCATACTGATACAAATCAATATAGGAGTATATAGGTACTGAAGTAAGTAATTGATGCCCTAATTGACTTTTATCACTTACATCCTCTCATAGCATTATGTAATTTAACTCACTTTCACAAATATATTATTAGTCTCTTCCAAATCCCACAGAAGTGATTATGGCCCTGTGGTAATGATGCAGGTAAAAAAAAAAGACAAGGGGTAAAAAAGCACAGTAGCAAACTTGTTCCTCATATGCTCTTGAATCTATGAATGACATGAGCACATCATTTAGCCCTCAGTGAGGCACAAGTTGAATTTGCCAGGAAACTTCAGAGACATGTTTGTACTCATACACATACAGAATACACACTCACAGATGAGGAAATGGTAAGTTGTCTGTTAGGTAAAGCAGAGAAACTTCAGCACAGGTGTTAGCTGCCATGTGATGACATTCAGTCCTTTGACTGGTAGACTATTAAGACTTTGTTTTAAGGTTATATGTTCTGATTAAAAAAAAAAACTCTGTTAAGATGTTATGACCAACTTCATGTGTCAGTGACAAGACGTGAGGTAGTTCCAACACAGAGGGACCAAGGAGTGTCTACTCATGGGGTAAGGAGAGCACACACTGTAATTAGCCTCTGGGCTCCAATCTTCATTCCTCTCCACATAACTCAAGTTCTGTCCATTAATCCTTCAGTCTCTGCAGTCCCAACATCTGTCTAGGAATTCCTGTTCCACAGACACAACACCTCTCCCTCTCACAATCCTTGCTCCTTGCTACCCATTACAGTGTTTACAGACAAGTCAAGAGGTGAACTCACATCTTGCAACATATTCATCTCTAACCACACTCGGTATGCTGAAAGCTACTAAATATGTTCTTTCAGTGTGGCTCCTGTGTACATGGCCTATGGACTTGTCTCTAGAACATTCCTCCCAATTGACTGTCAATGACCTCTGAACTCTGATTTGAAAATATGGGCAAACTGCATCAATCAACAAATAAGGTCTCTATTCATGGAGTAATCCATGTTTTCAACAAAAACATCTTTCATGGGTACCGATGACATTTTGTTCCTGACCGTTCACAGAAAATCTAATAGCTAGTTCCCAGGAAAAAAACAATAATTAGAAATTGAATTTTAAAAATAATATCAGGTATATGTGAATCAAAACAGTGCAAAACTCATTGAATGCTCCTGCCATATAAATCTGTAGTACCTATAGATTGAAACACGTCAAAATATTGCTGAATTGAAGACAACCTACATAAATGAAGGACATATTATGTTCATGTGCCAAACATCTATTTATTGGTTAGATGTTTATTGATTCAAAACTGATCTATAGAATCAATGGAAAACAATAAGATTACCCTATTTTAATTGGTTGGGGTATTCTAAACTTTGTATATCAGGCATTGAATTGGGCATCTTAGAAACATAAAGATAGAGAAGAGCATTGCTTGATAAGAGGTCTGCATATTAAACTACATTAGATGGGCCATCCTGCTGTAGGAATCTAACCAGGCAAGTAAAAATACATATCACCACTCCAGGATTACACACAAACATTTACAGACCACTGCCTCTTTTGAGGCAACATATTTATATGTATTTCATGCTGCCATCAAACTTGTGTGCAGTCTAGGCTGAGAAGGACTGACAATACTCCCCCTGCAGCCTCTTATGCACTGGGATTATTGATATATGTATTATTCCTGGATTGCTGGAGAACTGATATTTGACAAACATGCAAAGGCAAGTTGGTGTAGAAAGGATGTTCTTTAAGCAAAGAATACTGAGGCAAGTGTATATCCATATCCCACAAATATAAATTAGGACCTACATCATAACATGTGCAAACACAATGCAATACTGCCGTTCACATACTGGTCTCCCCATATTCCCCCTACCTGTGTTGCATCCCCCTGCTATGAAAGAAAACAAAGCAAAGTAAACAAGTAAGCAAACAAAAGCAAAAATAACAACAAAAACCTAATAAACCAAAACAGAATAAAAAAATACTCAGAAGGCTTGTAGCTGGAGTTCAAGGCAGATGCGAACCCCCTGACATGCTAGATGTGAACGAAACTTGTGTCCTTTGCAAGAACAGTTGTTTGCTTACCTGCTCAGCCGTGTTTCTAGCCTTGAATAAAAGAATTTTAAAGTGGGAATTTCATGTTGATGAACTGAACAAAATCTATCCTATTACATGCAAGTTTAGGCCTATGGGAATTAAGCTTTCTTTACATTGTCTTGTTAAGTTCAAGAAAGAGCTTGGACATAATTAGATCCTTCAAATCACATTTTTGTTTCCCATCTGGAACTGTAGTATAACTTACTAGATAAATAATGCATGATCTCAAATGAATACTTCTATGTAAGTAAAATAAGAAGAAAATGAGTTTAAAGTCAATATGCTTCAGAGATTATTAGGTGGAAAGACAGTTTTGTAAATCATGGATAGTTTCAAAGTACAGAATGAATACTTGGCTTTCTTTTTTCCAAGTGCCATTTATTTATTATTTATTTATTTATTTGTTTGTTTGTTTATGGAGACAGGGTTTCTCTATGTAGCTTTGGATCCTATCCTGGCACTTGTAGGGGAAGCTGTAGCCACTCCTGCTTAGGGACTGACTAAAGGTGTGCCTGACCATGCCTGGGAGGCATGCTCAGGGTGAAGTAGAGAGAGAGTTGGTCAGGTGGATTGTTTCTTGTTTCGGTTTCACTTTCGGCTTGCTGTATAGACTGCTGTGCCCTGGCTGGCTAGGTTGCTCTGTAAGTGAGGCTTTTTCCTTATTAAAATCCCTTGTATTTCTACCTGGCTCTGTATTGGTAATTTCCCAAAATTGGCACTTGGTCTTGAGTCCAGGCTGGCCTCGAACTCACAGAGATCCACCTGCCTCTTCCTCTCGAGTGCTGGGAGTAAGGTGTACACCACCAATTCTTGAGTTATTTTCTTTGTTTATTAGAAAGAAGATTATTTTACATGTCAATCCCAGGTCCTTAACCATCCCCTCCTTCCCTGACCCCACCCCCAACTAACACCCTACCTATCCCATACCCTTTCTGCTCCCCAGTGTGAGTGAGGCCTTCCATGGGGGGGGGGTCATCAAATTCTGTCATATTCTTTGGCCTAGGAAAACCCCCTTGTGTCTAGGCTAAGGGAGTATACCTCCATGTGGGATGGGCTCCCAATTCCATTCCTATGCTAGGGATAAGTACTGATCCACTACAAGAGGCCCCATAGATTTCCAAGGTCTCCTCACTGACAATGCAAACTCAAGGGGTATGGATCAGTCCCATGCTGGTTTCCCAACTATCAGTCTAGAGACCAAGGGCTCTCCCTTGTACAGTACAGTTTTTCCTTTGTGTTTCTCCACCCTGGAATGGAGTCCTCCTTCTCTGCAATTGGATTTCAGGTCAGTTCAAGGTTTAGCTGTGGGTGTCTACTTCTACTTCCACCAGCTGCTGGATGAAAGTTATACTATGGTGTATGAATTAGTCATCAATCTCATTATCAAGAGAGAGCATTTGAGGTACCCTCTCCTCTGTTGCTTAGATTGTTAGTTGGTGTCATCTTTGTAGCTCTCCAGACATTTACCTAATGCCTGATTTCTCTTTAAACCTATAATGTCTCCCTCTATTATGGTATGTCTTATCTTGCTCTCTTCTGTTCTTTCCCTAACTCAACCTCCCTGCCACATCCTGTCTTCCTCACCCCTGTTCTTCTCCCCTTCTCATTCTCCTAGTTCCCTCTCCCCTCCCCCCATACTCCCAATTTGCTCAGGAGTTCTTGTCCCTTTCCCCTTGTGCAGGGGACCATCTATGTCTCTCTTAGGGTCCTCCTTGTTGATGAGCCTTTCCAGAAGCATGGACTCCAGGCTGGCAATCCTTTACTCTATGTCTAAAATCCATGTAAGAGTGAGTACATATCATGCCTGTCTTTTTGTGACTGGGTTACCTTGCTCAAAATGGTTTCTTCTGTTTCCATCCATTTGCCTAATACTTGGATTTCTAGGGTGATGCTGCCATGTATGGTAACATGCTGATTTCGAAACTAAAGAGACATTTGTACGGCTTACCTCTCCAACAAAGTAAGAATATAAACTTAAGCCTATAAATGTCAAAAAGAACATACAGAAGAAAATCCATCTCACTGTGCCTAGCTGGAGATTTCACAAAAAAAGACATCTAATAAAAACTGTAACTGGCACAGGAAAATAATCTGGATTCAAAAAGAAAAACCCCAACTATGAATCTAAGCAAGCAGGCTGTCAGTTGGGGGCTTGGGCAGTCTTTTCTGGCCTCTGGCAGTACAACCAGTAATTTTCCATATGGAGGCAGGATACTGTCTCAGCCTAGACACACCTGAGAGGGACTACTGACAAGGTCCTAACCCTAATGATGTGACAGACATTGATGATGATCCCTTATGGGAGGCCTAACCCTCCCTGAGCTTGTTGTTAGACTCGAGGGGAGGGGTTAGAGGAGGGAAGCATAGGGTAGTGCAAATGGTATGTAATCTAAGATTCTTTTTAATTTAAATAAAATTAATTAAAAATAAAGCTATAACTGAATGACCCGGGAAGGAGGAATACTAAA